AATTGCAAATCGAATGGTATATGTCTCATTGTTGTAGCTTCAAAACTCTAGGAGGAGATAGGTTTTCCGTGACAATAAGTGTGAATGTTGAGGAGAGCGCGACAAAGTCCCGCGCGCACCACAATATGCGCTCAATGTAGCATAGATTCCAAACTAAACGTTTCTGGAGCTTGATTGCACTCAAGGATGATGGGAGCAACTCCATGCGTATCTCCCTACAAAGCCCGGAGGCACACTGAGTCAGACCTCACAAAAACACTATATTTGTAGTGGTGGACAGCGAATTATCTCGTATCTAATTACTGAAAGAACTCCCCCCCCGCCCACCTTTCATGAAGTGTCGTGTACGTGAAAATCGACGTACAGAGATGGTAGTGGTACCATTGGATAGGCCAGAATGTCAGCTTGAAGATGAGATTAAACACGTAACTGCAGCACAACTCAAGTAGACACAATATTTAAAGAGCTCAGCAGCTAATTAGTTCCTATCTAATTACTTAAAGAACTCCCCCACCCGCCCCCCTTTCATGAAATGTCGTGAAATCATAAATCAACGTAGAGAGATGGCGGCAGTGGTACCGTTGGATAGGGCAGAATGTCAGCTTTAAAATTAGTATAAAAACCGAAAAAGTAAAAATTTTCAATTTTAGGGTAGACGCTCCCCTTAAGGTTCATCATAAAACACTATCAATGTAGGAAACACAAAAATGATCCGGCTGTAAGGAGAAATGATATAAAAGTTATAATTCATTTTCAAATGTAAATACTACTTGTCGCTAAAATAACTTTATAAGCAATAATTCACTTTGTAGCGAAAATTATTCCTGATGCTGACAAGCTGTTCTCAGTTCGAGTTATGAGACCATTTTTATCGTAATCAAGATCAAGTCTGCAGTTTGACATAAGGCATCTTCGGCTTAACTTGGGAAAATAAAGATGTTTTTCCAATTTCTTCGGTCTAAGTATTGAACTCTGCATAAATAGCAGATCGCTAGAAGTTATATAAAAATAAATGCAAATAAAACAATTATAAACAGTTCAAATCATTCCAGCTATCGAACAAAAGTAATTAGTACCGGGTGGCAGTTCCTATATACACTCGAGTACTTACTCTAATAAGAGGTTCTGATGCAATTAACGATCCAAAAATACTATGAGTTGGATTGAAGTTTACTATTGTCGTGTTCAATGTGGTGGCGTACACATTTAGACAAATCTATTTTTACATTTAAATCTAATTCTAATTATTTTCATTTATCAATTCTGAATCTTGAACGTAGACACTACAGACCAATTAAACTATTTTGCCCAGTTGTTATCGAAGGTCTTTGAGCATCTGAACGTAGTTGTTGTTGTTGTGGTTCCCCGGTCTCATTTTTACAAGAGACCCTCTGAACGAAGTAAATTAAGGTGATGAGGATTTGAGATGTAATATGGTAGTGGCTTCTATTAAATTTTTCATAATCAAACAACATTGCTACATTTTTATTTCATCTGCGGAGAATTTTATTTAGCAAATATTTAGAATTAGCCAATTGCAATAGTTTCAGTTTCAGTATTTGGATTGGCTTTCAGTTACTTCATCTTTAAGGTGATGAAAAATTCATAAAAAGTAATTTAAATGAAGTTCAACGATTAATTTTAGTTAGTCTAGTAATTAATTAGTTTGGCCCAACGAATGAGCCAACATTATAATTTGATAAATTCACGAATTAGATAAAAGATCGATAAATATGAGGATATAAAGACATCCGTTCGTGAAGAAACAATTTTACTGGTACGATCATTTCACTGCGAAAGCTAGAATAAAAACTTTAAAGTAAACCAACACTTAATGCAGCAGTCTTACAGTGGTTATAAATTGGAGCGCATAGGCCGGACGGGCATATGGATTCAAGCTCGTCGGACAAGCATGGATTTTGTGCAATGCTTTATCGGTGGGTGGGAACAAAGAGGGTGTAAGTCGTTGGTCGATTAGCACAGTGTTTACTGTGCCCATCCGAAGAAGATCTCGACCGTAAAATACGGCCTATGTGACATATACACATACAAATTAAAACTTTATTACACATTCACACTCTTTCAGAAATATACACACACACATCCACCTCATAACTCTGCAGGCCATGATCTTCAATAATAAGGAAACTAGGTCTGAAAATTTATATTTTTGGAGCACCTGAAGACGCGAGAGTGAGGGACCTCATATTTAGGGACTTTCATGACATAGAACTTTCGAATGTGGGTACGAATTTGTGGGATCTGTGGATGTGTTCCCGTATAGGATATGGGACGTGAGGATAAGATGCTTAAGGACGAAGGAAATAATAATGAAAAAAATCAGACCGCGTTACATGAGAGAATGTCGTTACAATGATTTTGTGCAAGAGGAAGCACGACACGAGAATGAGGGCGCGCGATTTAATGATACTTGTGTTGCTCACGCAGAATTTCTGAGGGAACATAATACATTGAAGTATTTGCAATCCCTGTTCAGAGAAACAAATTTTTTCAGAAATGAAACTTTAGAACACGAGGCAATCATATTTATTCACAACAAGATCATGAAGACACGAACAAAGGTTGCCAAGTGGGTTACTGTCGCCAAGAAAAAATGGCCTTTGCGAGCGAGATGACCTCATTGGCTTACACCTTTGAGATAACAAAGATTGTAAGTAGAAGATGGTGCCTGGTATTAGAATGATGGTACCCTTAATTAAGTACCCAAGTACGAACTGATTCCTGGAGGGCAAAAGGAAGGCTCGCGTGCGTGTGGAAGTGAGCGAAATTCTTCCAACCATTTGTTCAGAGAAAACTGGAACCTGATGAGACCAGTGAGTTTATCCAGCGCTCTGCAATGGAACCCCAAAAACAAAGTGCAACTATTTAAAAGATTTTTGTAAATGTACCATCCTAACAAAGACCTGATGCCCATCTATAGTACTTAATGTCGAAATGAACATTGCTCAGTTGGAAAGTCATGTGATAGCGCCACCAGCTGCGGAACTTGAGAATGAAGTCGCCACAAAAAAGATGGAATGATAAATGAAAATTAGATTCAAATCGGGGAATGTTCTACCAGCTCAAAACTCTACAACTGAGCAATCCTCAACACGTTTTCTTCTCAGAGTGACATCGATGTATCGTCTTCTTCATCATTAAAAAAATTAACACAGCACTAAGGCAAACAATCAACTGAAGTTTGTCCTGCATTGCGCCTGTTTGATGACGATCCTCGGAAAACTGGATGGATGGATGATCAATAATAATGCTGAACTACCCAGTCGGCCGTCAAAAGATATGAATTCAACCATTAGTTGCTGCAGGAGACTCGGATGGAGCAGTTGTAGCAACAGCCACACATTCTTCGATTTATTTATCCAGTAAAGAAATGGTCCATATTCGATGCTCAGCACCTTCAACAACATTCGATGTGGTGGCCAGTAATAAACCCAATTCATACCAGCATTCTGATCCATCTTATACCTAAACTCTGTGTAATTTGACATCATCAGCTAACGTTTCTTACACTCTCAATTTATCAGCACGTTGCTTTAATGCCTATTATTTCGATTTTTCAAATAAATTTGTATGGATTATATTCAATTACCAGGTTACTTTTAGAGAGTTACTTGTAGGCTATAATCTATAAGTGAGTTGAAGGTGTGCATGGCTGCCGGAGCACGGAGCCGGAGGTCGTGTGTAAACTTTGAAAAGTTTCTTCGCTTCAAATATTTTAGATTTTCTTCCTGTTCGATTCATACGGAAATTTTGCGAATCACCGTCCTTTTTCCATGATAATGATAATCTTGTTGATCACATATCGGGAGCCACTTTTTGGCGCAGCGATGGTGCAACAAATGATGATCCGCTAAAATATGTAATTAAGGTATTAATAACAATAATTAATAATTCTGACCCACTTAACATCGATCGGCTCATCTGTAATTTAGCAAAGAGATGAAATAATTTGGGACTAAGTATTAAGAACAAGTACCCATTCATGCAACATGCATGCATGCATTGCAACAGGTTGGTGTGGCGGCCTTAACAGCGGACAATGTTTTAGGCCAAACTGCAGCTTATTTCCATTTTTAGATCAATTTAGATTTGTCTCCTGATTCTTCATAGTTAATGAGGTTTCCTCTCGCTGAAGTTGGATTTTAACAATCGATAAATAATTAAGGAATAATAATTAAGGGTCTACCCAGTTGAAGTTCGGAGACGAGTTCTGCGCTGCTCACAGCAGGAGAACAGTTTAGTAGCAGCATATATGGATGTGCTTGATCAGCTGGCTGTCATTATTTTAGAACATTCTGTAGGCTCTTTCATCGTGACAACAACGCGTTCAGTCAGTTATTAACAAGTTCAAAATACTTGTACGTTAGGCTTGAAAGCTAACCATGAACAAATGTTGGCGGTCAAGACTAATGTAAATAAATTAGGCGAATTTAAATAATTAAATGCTCAGATATTAATTATTTAAGGATGGAATTATTCACTGACGAGCTCGTCTATCTACATAATATCTCAACCCGTGATTTACTTCACTTTTGTGAAAGTTTAAAATGCTAAAATCCATGAAATATAATATCATGATCTCAGAATTCTATGTGTAAAAAATGAGTGCTTTGACGGTATTGACAGAAATATATCGCTCAGAACGAATGAATGTTTAAAATTTTGATTATCCAAATAGTGTAAGTAATATGCACACAATTCAGCAGTCTTCATACAGAAGGTACGAAATCATGCTTCTGAATTACGCCCAATGAATGAATAGCATCTGATCGTCAAAGTTTCAAAATGAGTTTCGTATCTGTTGGTTCGCCTATATTATATATATATGCGCAGATACCAGAAATTTAGCGGTTAATCAAATATTCACAGATGAATTGGAATACATATGTATATTTCTTTGCCTTAAAGGCGGCAACCTATGTTCATTATACAGTTTTTAAGTTAATAATATTTTTACCTACGCCTAGGTGGTAATAAATATTTGTAAAAATTCTATAATTTACCATTCCAAACATGATATTTTAATTTAAGGTTTGAAGTCTCCTAATCACGAATAGCAGTGATGGAGAAAGATCTCACGGAATGAAAACGCACCGATAAAAAATTAACGTTTTTGTACTCACAGTGAGGCAGAATTAACCATTATCTTAACACTTTACTCCAATTTACATTCACTCTAATTTTTTTCACTCCAATTTACAATGGCGATTTTGAGTTTTAATCCAAGATTTCGAGTTTCCATATCTTATTCTTTTACCCCCATCCCTACCGATTAATTCGAAGATTATTTTGGTAATTCTGTGATTTTAATCTATCTTAATTGGGTGCTGTTGAATTTTTGTGCTTATGTGTCCGAGTTTACACGCGGATCTGAGTGGGTAAATGTCGATAAAAGGCTTGGGTCCATAGCAAGCATATGTGGGACCAAGCATTTAGAACATGAAAGTGTGGGCTCAGAGAATATTTGAACGAGTTCAAAACAAGAGAGTGTGGTTCATAGCATGCAGTTGTAGACTCAGAGAATGAGGGCATTAGTTCAGTGCAAATTGATGTTGATTCAGTGCGTTCAGATGTAGATTCATAGCACGTTGGTTAAGAAATTTGGAAATAAGGTCAGAGCATATAGATTTTCAGTAGATATACGCGTAGACGATTTTGGGTTAAAACACTTAGATATTCAGTACATATATGCGTAGACTCAATGGATTCAGAGCATATAGGTATTGGTAAGAGCAGGCCGACAGAAACACCACTGCAGCAGCAGCACGCCGATGATCGTCCCTCCCACGCCCATAAGCACGGGACCCACCACCACCAGAGGCGTGTTGTAGCCGAACAAAGACGTCGTCTTGATCACCGACCCCATCGAGTACGCGTAGTACGGCAGCGTGCAATTCACTGCGAAATACAACAAACTTCAGTAAATGGAGATACAAATTACTGGAAGAAAGTATTGTGAAAAGTGTTTGAAAATTTATTAAAGAAGATGAAGACCATGCAACGGTGTCCTTTCGTGCTGCGTTATGAAAACGTTTAGTCCTTAACCGAAAGTTACAATCTATAAGGCTATTTAAAATTAGACACTTTCCTAGTTCAAGTTGAGGTATAAGTTGTTAAAAATGTGCCTTTATTCTTAAGAAAGTTACAGTTACAGATCAAATTCATTGATTTAATATGCAGTTGGGAATTTGGAGCCATGTTCATATATTTCAATTAATGTTAAATGTATTAATCGCGGCAACCCTGCTACCACTTTGACTATTCATTTCTAAATTGCTGCAAAGAACCATTTACCCGGCCACAACGTCACGATAATACGTCTGCGTCTAAACAGTCAATCTCCAGCAACAGATGGTGCGGTCAACAAGTGCCTTCATGCAGTCACCTTCAATTTTCAAGCTCTACTCGTTTGCCACCTAACATCTTGGCCAGTCCCTATGAAGAGATAGGGAGTTCGGTGGAGTGACTGGCGGCGGGATGGCGGGGCCTTCTACGTTGCTACCTTCGGCGCTACCGTCTTTGACGTCTACCGTTCGGACTAACGGCGATGGAAGTTTGACGCGGCGACGTTCAACACACGGCAAAGATCCTATGGACGTCTGAGGTGGGTGGCAGGTGATTGTCGCGCATTACCTTGTTACCTTTAGAGTCCCATCAGGCATCAATTCCTTCACTTGCTCCTAAGAACCTTCATTTTACCGGAGGATTTGAAGAATGGTAAATCCAAATTCCCATATGAATATTACCAAATTTATATTACCTAATTCGTACTATTACCAAATTTGTGTTATTCCCTAATTATTAATGTTACCTAATTCTTAATGTCACCTAAATCTTACCATTACCTAATATATTACCTAGCTCGAACTATTACCTAAAATGTCATTTACCGTGTAGCTATTACCTAGAATATTCAAATTTCTACCATAACATTTTACCAACTAGCTACAGTGCTTTAGCTCTTTATTACCTTACCTTAAAACTTTACTTTACCAGCGAGCACTGAGCTTATTACCCAGTACCATTACCTCGAGTAAAATTTTCTCACCTAAGATATTAAACTGTTACCATTATCCCATATACCTGTGTCTTTACCTAGGAATATTTTCTAATACCAACTATGTTTAATATCCGGGTTTAAAATTCTTTCCAATTCAAGTTGTTTTGCGTCTCTCATAATTTTGTTATTTGACAGTTTCACTTCATCCTCCTTTTCGGAACCGCGGGTGGCGGATGGTCGGGGGGAGCGCCACCGACGGGCTTAACCCGTTGTCTTCTCCGACCGCCAGTTTCGCAACAGTTTCATTTATCCGTATAAATAAAATATTCTTTGAATTGAAGCTTAATTTATTCCCCACTCGCCATAGTTTTCGAAAGACACTTTCCTAGTTCAAGTTGAGGTATAAGTTGTCACGGATTTGGCAACTCACACATGGGGTTCATTTAATTGATAACTTATTGGTCAAGATTTGAGATTGAAGGTCCTACAAAAAAGTGACTCATCCAACGTGTAATGAATGGTTTGTAGCTACAGCACTAAGAGATCACAGCTGGATTATGCAGCAGCCGTAGAACTTTAGGCAATAAAGTGAACTCTCATCTCTATGCCAGCTTCAATTTTTGAAACGACATCACATGCTCAATATAGCCAGTCCTACTTCCGTCAGATCTCCCTGCTTTTTCTTGTGTATAATTGCTACTAACCGGGTGTTAATCATGGCATCGCACTTAACCGCTTGTTAAACACCTATTTCACAAGCATTAGATTTGTTTTTGCAAGCAAATGTGGATGTTCTATGCACTTCTCCTAATAGTCTGTGATTCTGTTAACACCTATATAAGCGTTTGTCGTGTATTAAGGCGAATAAATGATTCACCAACACACATAATTCAGCAGTGTACATACCCCCTCTGTCGTAGGTTCTGTACGACACACCGGTGAGTATGGCGCCCACGGTGTAGATGAGGATGGATACCACAGTGCCGAATATGATTACCACGCGGTAACTGGGGAAATATGTTTGATGAGAAAAACATCGTGAAAAATTTTAAAAACATTCATAGTTATTGTACGCTACAACTATGGAACGCCGTTACACGATATAAAATCGTTAACGGTTTTTAAATCCCGGGGTCCGGTTATTGTCGATTGTTCCTACTCCTGATCAAGATTACATAATCATGTTACGAAAAGTTATTAATAAATCATAATGTAATTACATATATTTTATGACAAGAGGCTCTTACGTACCGATCATCGGCAATGTAGCGCTTAGCCAAGCATCCGTCAATATTAAACATGTTCTAAAATTTTCAACTTTTTTGAACGTTTGTGTCAGACGTTGCAATATGATTGTTCTCATTTAATTTTCCAAGTCGTAGTATATCGTATAAAATTGGATTACTCTACTAAACAGTGTTATACCGTACAGGTCGTTGAAATTTCAACTCCAAAATAGTCGATACTTTGGCAATTTGATATCGTAATCAGAATAAACGACCGTTAACGCGACTAAATCGCCCTTCAAAAGCTGGACGGGAAATGGAAAAAACACAACTCGCTACTCACTGCCGTGAGTGACAGAGAGCGAATTTTCTCGTCGACGTGAAGTCACGGACGGACAGACAGACGGACGGACAGACGGACATGGCGAGCACAATAGCGCACTTTTTCCATAAATGAGAAAATGAGCTAATAACTAAAATGTTTCATTTATATTGTCTTGATACTTCTTACAAAAAAAGTTTTTCTGCAGTTTTCTTTAATTTAATTTTAGTCGCGGTTTAATTCCATAGTAAGCCGCTATTTAGTAAAATAATTCAAGCACGTCAAATTATAAGAACAAACTTGAAGTACGTTAGTCAAGAACATGCATTTACTAAATTAAGCGAGTGGATTGATGCCGCTCTACGATTGCTAAATTATCATGGGAAACAACACTATTTTATAAATCTTATTTTCCCCAGAATTGTTTTACATGTACCATGAGAATGATCGCACGTCTAATTTCCTTGAATTAAATGTTAATAACATTGATACAAGCATCTAATAACCATATATTCATTTTTAACACACTTGTTAAATTTTGAAAATAAATTTATACAAATGGAATTACTGTCTTCTACAGAAATACGTCATGAAAAATATAAAAATCACTCTGAATCGGACTCTTCAAAGTCTTGAAAACAGTTTTAAAGTAGAAACCCAAGTCTTGTTCGCCGTAGAAACCCAATGAGGAGTTCATACACCCGCATGCGCATGTAGAGGCGTGTTTAATCTGAGCCCCTCAGGTTTAAAGAAATTTTTTTAGAGAAAACGCCAGTAATAATATTGAGAAGTCGTCACTCACCCACACCAAGCAGGCTTCATTTTGACGTCAGCTCCGTCTGCGTTGACGTTGTATTTCTTTCCTGGGGAGGGCATTTTTTGCGGCGTTGAAACTTTATTGTCTGAAAGAAAACGTTTGAAACTTGAAATTTCCTAACTCCTGGAAAACGGCATGGTCATAATAATGATATTATAGATTTAATTTTAGAGCTAGGAAAGAAAAATTGAATATGCGTTTATGTACAGGTAGGGTGATTCATGGAATTTTCCTGTTTTGTATTTCGCGCCAAGCAGTTAGATGTTATAGGAAAAGGGCTTGAAGTATTTCTTATGAGAGACTTGATTATAAAGTTTTGCGTCCCACCTAGTCAATCGCAAAAATGCATTGGACAAGTGAGCAGCGTGCGTTTGCTGTCGAGACATAATTTTCTGATGACCGTCCCATTAATACTACTCAACGAGCATTAAGTACTCGGTTGATTGCTCGGGTGGTTCCGTACTCGTGTGATTTTTTTAATGGAGTTATCTTGAATCTCTAGTTTACAATGACTGTCCAAGGACCCAACCTCATTTGAAGAACAACATACGCCAAGCCATCGCCAACATACCCGTCATTATGCTTCGCTCAGTGAGTTGAAGGGAACTTCAAAAATGCATTCATTCATCATTCAAAGAAATGAATGCATTGACAATAGGGGCCTTCATTTGTCCGATGTCGTCTTTAAAACTGAGTGATACAAAAATTCAGGTATGTCAACTCCAATAAAATTTATATTGTAATGATATTTTTACTAGGTTTTTTATTGAGCTTTAAAATTAGGAAGTTTCCGTGAATCACCCTGTACATCAGTTTGGTTAACGACTGAAGAACTAAAAAAATAGAAAGAAAAAGCCTTGTGAGTTCAGTTTGCTCTGCTGATTCATACTGAATTTACTATGAAGTCACTGATGATGATTATCATTAAAACTATTTTACAAAAGGTTTGACGATGATTAAAAGTGGGTACTACCTATTCGTTAGAGCTTTACATTCCGAATTTTCCTGGAAGCCGTAAAATGTGATTTACTTAAATAATTTGCATTGATGTTAAAAAAAGATTATCCAAAGTAACAGACACGACATACGATGCTGATTCAACAATCTGGAAGCAATAACAACGCCCAGTAAATTGATTATATCTCAATTATAAGCGTTCAACAGGCCATGCTGGTCAAAAACACTACGGTAGTAGTCAAGAAATAAAAGCCAAATTCATACAAGAGAGAATAAAACAGCAATACCGAATAAACGAGCCTGAGGACATGAAAACTTATCAATTAGCGATTTCAGGCGGAAATGAACTGAAGGAATGAATAAATGGCCTTGTGATGAAAACACTGAATTCGTACGATGATACTGTGATGCACTGGTGCCCAAACTGCTGGGCGCGAGGATCTTTGCATAGTACGCTATGTGGTTTACCTACAATTCTTGGGTTTTAGACAATTTTTACTTTGTTTGTATCAGAAGAATGTTTGCGGCGTGACAGTGGCAGTCTGACAATGATTTTCAGATGTTACAACACTCCCACTCATTATGTAGATCGTTATTATATCGTATGCGGCAATTGTTCGCACATTTTGTGAGAATAAATGCATGTAATCATGCAATAATTGGTTGAAATGTAGCATTAGTGACCCGTGGTTGGTGCTGTTGCGCGGCGAATATAGTGAATATTTAAGCGGCACTCGCTGGCTAAAGTTTGAAAACCGTTTCTGTAAACCATTCACAGTTTCACAATCGATACACCACTGCTTGAATACTCCGAGAATGTAAATAATTTTGCATACCCCACAAATTTCATGCGTAGTACGTGTTTGAGAAGTACATATAGTGACTGTCGAGCATATACGGTGTCTTGAGCTGCATCGCAGGATATCTACAGAGGATGTGGCCGCCGGGATGTGTCTTGAGATAAGGCTGGTCTTTTCCACTCTTCTCAAGACATTGTGCTGTGGAAATTTGTGTGGTTTTTGTACAAATATTCGGGCTGAAAATCATGTATTCAAGAAGCCATTACTACTTGTGATAGATTTTATTGCCCGGGTCAAGGTAGAATTTGTGTTTACACGTCCCATGTGCCAATTGATTGATCTTATCCAGTTTCTGTTAGCAAATACTAATATTTTTTTGCTCACTCTAAAGATCTCTATTATTTGAGTGTTTTCATTCCCGAATCATTACTTAATACTGTCCAGTTTCTGGTTGCAAACCCTTTTATTATGTTGACTATATGTTCACACTGATCATATACACGCTCTGGGGCTCCAGTTCGTGATCAGGCTTTGTATTTTCATGCCAGCCAACTCTCTTTGTTATCAAGTCAAGCAACAATCATATATTGTCTTTCAATGTTTTCTATAATATTATGTGGATTCTGTGTTCAGCCACGATGGTTTTGCCTCTAGCACAAGCTGTGAACCCATGAAAAGCCATATTGTTTCTTTGCGTACACATAATATGTGTAATTCAGTCGTTGCCAAACCTTCTATTCATTGCCCTGATATGATTCAACAAACTTCTGCAGGTTGTGTTTTTTGAATTATTCGTTTGCGCTGCATTAAAAGTATTAAGGTACTTGAAATTCGCTAGAGATGGATGTTTGCAATCCGGGTCCACATACAACGGTTCTCAGGTCAATTTTTTTTGTTAATGATGAATTACATGGTTTAATGCATAATACAGGCTGACGGGTATCACAGAAATAAGTTGATTTTATTAAATTACTGGCATATTTAATTTTAGTTTAATAAATTTATGTTAGAAACAGTAAGAACAACTTATACTTCATCGGACTCAAATGATTGAATTATTAAAATGTGTTCCTGATTTCTAACAGTTTCTGTTAAACGGTCTTCTTTTCGACCTGGCATTCGAGCGAACAGAAAATATTTCACAATCCCCGACTACGAAGTCCTGAATTTGTACATTATATCATAGAATAGTGATGTCGGCGCTGAAGGATAGACGAAAAAAACTGCGTTGCAACTCATCCACGCGACAACTCATATGATGTGGCCTGTCGTCGATTCTTGTACTTTTCGTGACTTATCCACAGGAAATCTAAAAACAGGTTCTTCGACCGGATCTTTTCAAAACTAACGATAGTTTGAAAAGGTTGCTAGACTTCCACCGGGTTCGATATGGTGTTTAGGCATTTGAAGTCTGAACATATATTTTTCCATTGCTTTATCTCGTCCGTTCATGAACGCGTTTATACTCGGAGCGTCAACTATGTAATCGGGGAGGCTGTTCCGCATGTCATGCAGTGATTCGAAGCGAGAAGAAATGTTGTCGCATGGATGAGTTGAAAAAAGTTTTTTTCGTTTACAGCCGCAGCCCCAGGTGTTAGTTCTTGTTTTAAATTCTAGTAATCCTTCTGGGACCTTGTTTAAAACATTAGTATTCTTGTATACTTGAATGAGGTCACCTAGCAGACGTCGATAAGAGAGGCTTGGAAGCTTCCTAATCTTTAGTCTTTCTTCATAGGACTTGCCCTTCAAGCCTGGAATTATTCTTGTTGCACGTCAATTAAATTTTTGTCCTTTTCAAGTTTCGGTGACCACACGGCGTTTCCAAACTCTAGGTTCGGGCACATACGACAGCGACAAAGAACTGCTTCATCGCTTCTGCATCTCAAAACTCGAAAGTGCGTCTGATCAGTCCAAAAAGTTTATTGAATTTATTAGCTTGTGTTTTAATATATCTAGGAAATTTCAGCTCCTTGTCGACATAAACTGCCAAATCTTTTTCCATGTTAGATACTTTAGTCAAGTACTACTTAAGTACTTTACACATGTCAGCATTAAATGGCAGCTTACACGTATCGGCGCAGTTAACTAAACTATCAAGATCATCTTGCAATTGCACTCTATTTGACGCATCTTTAACTGCATTATAAACTTTTGTTTATAATACAGCCATGCAATGAAGACATGTTTATCAAAGTCTGTCAGACTTCGAAGCCATGCTGATAGGAGATGTTAACAGTCAAGTGATCGATAATTAAATCCTAAACGTCAACAGATTCCATTAGCTTACAAACAACACTTGTCAGACTGGCAGAGCGATGGTTACCCGAGCTACTCTTGTCACCTTTTTTTGACTAATGGTTTCACTTGAGCTTCTTTTCAATAAGTCGGTAAAGTCTCTTCGTTCAATGTTTTTGATTGAACACTTAAAAAAGGCCGGATAAGACCGCTGCAAATTATTTGAGCAATCTAGGGCGGAATCCGTCAGGTCCACATGACTTGATTGGATTCAGATCGCGTCTGCGTGTACTTCGAAACTTGTTAACTTCAAGCCCATTGGATGCTCCTCAACAACTGGAAGGCTGTTAAAGTTCTTTAATATTTTTTGGTAATATTATTTTCAAAGTTTTTCTATGCGGTGTGACAGTTTTTTCTGCTTGATTTCGAGCTCTTGCATGCAGGTTATAGTCATCATCGCTTCATCGCTGCAGGTTCGTAAATAAGTCATGTAGGTGTCCTTCGCGGTCTTTAGCTCAGTTATAAATTTGAAATAAATATTATAAATAGATATTATATTACAATTTTTATTAGGAAAATTATATTATATTATAATTATTAAATTATTATAAAATAATAATAATAATAATAATAATGATAAAATAGTGTATTATAATTTTTATTAGGAATAAGTCTCAAGTTATAGAACTTGAGAGGACATATATGATCCTGAATTATCATTGAATCGGTAATTTTAAATAAAAAATATACTCATTCAAGTGGCGCAGACAAACTTTTTCCGTTTGCATGCGTGCATGAATTTAAATTGTTGCTAATTGAGTGTTCGTTCTTTCGGACATACATATAGCGACCAACGGGCTGGAATGTTTGGTTGTGCTGGAGTAAAGTCTGGTGCGCGTAAACGTTTATTTCTTCTGTAAAAGGAATCGCGGAATCGAACGTTTGCTCGTACTAGAATAAGTCGGTGGGCAACTAGACGTATACGTCGGACTTCGACAGAGAGGATTCCAACGCGCGTTTGTATTGATAAAGAGACTAATTTTCACCTGTAAATTAATGTAGACGCTATGAAGTGGTTTTTCCATCAAAAATTGTAAAAAGTTCCTTCTCCACTCCAAGGTTCGGTGTTGGCAAATAATTTTGCTGGTAAAAGTCGAGTGAGGAAA